CGCAAGCGCTTCATTAAGCTTGACCACCATTGTCCTCTGATGATGAGGACGACTGCGAGTCTTCGCCCACCCACGACGATCACTCACCATCTCCCAACAGAGATCACTTCCCTCCTCATCCCTTGCCATCACCCTCGAGAAGACAGAGGTCTCCTATTCCTCCTCGTCTGCCTCCATCTTCATTATCCTCGAGAAAAGAAAAGACCCCTCCTCTTCCATCTTCATCAGCCCCTGGAAAACAGAATTCTCATCGTCATCCTCCTCCTCCACCTTAGCCCAAAATAAGATCAAGGGCATCCTCGCAGTCGCAGAAAAGGTCCTTAGATTCGGTCGTTAATGCTCCCAAAGTGGACCAACAAAAAAGAAAAAGGCTATTCAGTGGCAGCGTTACCACATTGATGAAAGAAAAATTTACAACACACATCTTGAAGAAAGATTGTGTTAGTTTCTTCAATCTCTGTGCCTCACTGCCTTCGTGTTTGTTGAAGTCCGAATTCGAAAGGCAAACATAGAATCAATACGCTACAACAAGAGCCAAAGAAATACATAATAAAGATTTAAGGAACATACAGAAGTACGTCGAAGACAACCCTGAATTAACTATGGAAGAGGCCATGAACATCTATTACGATGTACAAGGGATGGGAACACCGGCAATGAAGTATGAAAGGGGCAATCTTTTGGTCCCTGATCATGAGTATGGAAATTTGACAACATATATGCGCTAGTTACATGAATATTATATGGCTCAAGCAACAGAGATGGAGGACTTTGGTTTGAGGTTATTATCTATTCGCCACATGTTTTCCATTATCCTGAAGTAGAGAAGTTCGATGTCGAGTGGGAGTGCTTATTCCAGCTATACCAGAAATGCTCTCTCGATACACAAATATTGACGCTGTGGACTATGTAAGTACCCTACACGCACGATATTACAATTAACTATTCTCTCGAGACACAAATTGTTAACGTTTGAGCACTTCCCATGATTTTATGTAGGTGTATATCAAAATTTTACATTCTAAAAAGCAAATAGGATAACATAGACTTCTTAGACCCCTTGCGAGTCAATGAGAGGACATGTCTAGGCCTCCATGGATGTGACGTGAAAGACCTAAAATAAAGATTGATTGTTGTTTTCGACAAATTCACGATGAAGAACAAAACACACATACTTCTAGCCTACAACTACGAGTATGTGTTCTCGACTTTTAATTTTATGCTTCTTTTTTCGTTAAGATTATTCGATAATTAGGATTCTGTGATTGCAGCAACCATTTCGTCTTCATTTGTGTTAATCTTGCCAAAAATCTGATCGAGGTGTGGGACTCGAAGAAAAAACCATTTCATAATCTGGATGTACTGGTGGCAGTGCTGAATTAGTAAGCAATCCTAATAACATATTATTTTCTAGTCACACATATCGCTTTCTAATGTTTCACCCTTTAATGTTGCTTGGTGTTCGAAGAAGACATTGGTGGGACGCAGGTCCCATTCAAGGTTGTCGAAATAGAGGGGAAGTACCTAAAACAGCCATCGAGAAACAATGATTGCGGCTTTTATGTAATGTGGGCAATGCTTCGCTACATCGGCGGGAAATCGGAAGAAGCCGATAAGTTGGTGTGTATAATCCCTATTTCATTTATGTCTGTTAATAATTCAACAAAATGATTTACTGATTCCTCTTTGGATATCATCTTTTTGAACGACAGCGCAAGAAATATAACCACGAAAGGCTGTTAGACATGGAGATCGTCGCACTGCAATCGAAGCTGGCAAAATTCATCTTAGCCGAGGTATTGGAAAAAGATGGAGTATTTTTCATTGCACAATCCGTGAAGTTCAAGGACTAGTATGGCCCAGAGCGGCTCGCCAGATTATTGTAAGAAGTCAGAGAAGCATTACACAATATGTGAAGTCCAAGAACATTTCTTTTTTATTTTGAGGGATCGAGATCTTGATAAGAACATTTGAACTGTAACCGTAACATTTGTAATGTTTAATATTGATGGACCTATCATCTACGTAGCGTATATAAAGCGAAACCTGATTACACAAAAAAATATAAATTAAAATAATTTATAAAATAATAAAATGCGAAGGTGACATCACTGCCGGTTAGCAGAAAACCGGTAGTGTTGTCGTAAACATCACTGCTGGCTAGCAACAAACCGCCAGTGATGACACTGTCGGCTGGAGCCACAAACTGGCAGCGTTGGCTTAGCCATCACTGCCGGTTCTTGTCACAAACTGGCAGTGATTTTTACGACAACACTATTGGTTGAAACGCAAACTGACAGTATTGGTGGAATTGAACTCTACCGGATGCTCTTATGAACGGGCAGTGTTGGTGGAACTGAACTCTGCCGGTTGTGTAAAGAACCGACAGTGAAGTTGAAGAACACTGCCGGTTTATAGGAACCGACAGTGATAGCTTACCCTCATCACTGCCGGTATGGTTGTGCCGGTTCAAAATCTGGTAGTGATGGGGTATTTTGAACCGGCAGTGAAGTGTTATTCTGATGTAGTGCCAGTTCCATATGATGAATAGCAATGGTAGTTTTCCGATCCATGAAGAATGTAATACTATGTTTCCAATTCAACCTTTTCTTTAAGACCAAAAGCTAGATATTTCTAGTCTAGTCTAGAAAGATACTCAAGAATTACTGTACGTAGCTCGGCCCTGACCGGCCAGGTCTTGCCAAATTTTTGCACCGGCACTACCGGAATAAGTAGCTTTGCCGTGTCTTCAGTACACACGGCGAAGCTAAAAAAACACTTGGTAAAGGCTTTGCTGAGTGTTACACTCGGCAAACGGCACTCGACGAATAAAGACTCGGCAAAGCTGTTTTTGCCGAGTGTTTTTTATCGAGCACTCGGCAAACACTTTACCGAGTGCTAAACCGACACTTGGCAAATAATTTTCAAAAAATAAAAATAAAAAAACCCCGGCCACCACCACCACGCCGCCGCGGCCGCCACCGCCACCACGTCCCCCGCCACCACGCCCGCCAGGTGATACGCGCATCATCTGAATAAAAAATACAACGATACCTGGTGATCTTCTCCGGGTAGTTCCACTGCCTAAAAGGGACAGATCAAATCAAATCCTCCTATCCACGGGTCTCTGATCTAATCTGACACAAGGAAAAAAATCAAGATTACGAACTGGTAACATGCAGATTTGTCGACGACAAATGCGAGAGGCAAAGGGCGCCGACACAAGAAAGAAGAGAAACGCCTCAATGCAAAATAAGGTGATTTGATTTAAGTAGCAGTGCGATAGCAACCAGATCAATGGAATCAACTGTCCCGGATCTGCAAGCTGCAAGGGGATTTGATTGGAATAAACAAATCGATAACAACAGGAAAGATTAGAACTCTCAAGTCTCAACCAAACCTGGATTCAACGGTGTCACACGGTATCCCAGCGGGGCACTCGGGGCTACGACGCGACCCGCCCAGCAGAGACGGCGCACGCGGGCTACGACGCGACCCGCCTGGCGGAGACGGCGCACGCGGCCAGCGCGAGCTGTTCAGCAGAGAGGCGCGCGGGAGACCTCGGGTGTTGGGGACGATGCAGGCTGCGCCGGATCTTGAGCGACGGGATGGCGCACAGACTTCGGCACGGAGCTACTCGGTGGGGATGGAGCTTGGATTCCGAAGGGCTGTCGTGTGCACGGAGAGAGCCGCGGTGCTGCCGGATGCAGGTCCCCCTGCCGCCGCCATCACCGGAGGGAGGGGAGGGGAGGGGCGGGGAGGGGGAGGGTGCAGCCGCCGGGATCTGCCAGCCTCGCCCCCCGCGGGGCGAAGGTATGAGAGGAGAGAGAATAAAGGAGAGAAAAAGTTGGGGAAGAGCGGCGAGAGGCCGAGACGTCTGAGGCCGGGGAGCATCGTCGAGAGTTATAGTATAGGAGCTTTGTCGAGTGTCCTAGATCTGACACTCGGCAAAGTAGTATTTGCCGAGTGCCAGATTGGGGGCACTCGGCAAACTTTTTTTTTCTCCTCTTTCTTCTTTTCCATAATGTACTTTGAAAAACTTATTTCTTTGCCAAGTGAAAAAAAAACACTCGACAAACTTACTTCTTTGCCGAGTGAAAAAAACACACTCAGCAAACTTACTTCTTTGCCGAGTGTTTTTTTCAGCACTCGGCAAAGAGTTTGTTTACCGAGTGCAATTATTTTGCCGAGTGTTTTTTTCGCAGCACTTGACAAAGAGCTTGTTTGCCGAGTGTCCTATAGAATGCACTCGGCAAACATAAAAACACTCGACAAAGAGCCGGTTTCCGGTAGTGTGGCCTTCATGCTGTCATCCTAGCTCGCCACGGCTGCTGCTCAGTTGGATTTCCATCCAATGGACAGAAAATGGGTGCCCCAGGACCCGAGCTCGACACGCACGAAAATAAAGTAAAATGTTACTTTTTTATATTACAAACGGACTGGCATCTTTTTTATCATATACACACCGTCGACATGTGTCGGCCGGCGCTCACGACAAACGGCAAATAAACTCCATGTATCCTCCCTGCAAAACGAGCATGCACGTTCTAGATATTATTTTAGTACAAGGCTTTTAGGTGACAAAGCCACGGGGATGGGGGCAGGCAGATGCGAGCATTATACAAGCGCCAGCGCCGCGTCACTCCTACTGCTGTCCGTTCTGTACGTGTACCTGATCGAGCCGGTGAGCTCAACATAGTGTTTAGGTTGTACTTACCCTGCGAAAAGCTAAATGGAGGAGGTGGAGGTCAGAGCTGGAAAGACCCAGCCATGCATTACCGGCTCCCCCAATCCTCAATAACTAATCAGTAGTATGAAATTAGTTTGCCAGATCGATCATGCTCATCATTCCCTTTCAAGCTTGTGGTTTTGTCATATAAATACGTGCTCATTCCACACTTCGTTAAACCAACTCGATCGAGCAAAGCAGCTAGCTAGCTAGTACCATCGTTTTCAAGTGTGAACTAGAGTGATCGGGACGTTGTTTTGAGTAGCTAATAATGGCACGGCGGCAGTGGAGCAGCGGCGGCGGCGGCCTCGCGTTGGCAGTGCTCGCCGTGCTGTCGTCCGTGCTCTGCTCGGGCCACCCGGTGCCTGGCGGGGGGTTCCCGCCGCTGCAGCCGCACTTCTACGACCACGCGTGCCCACAGATGCAGGCCATCGTGGGCTCCATCGTGGCGAAGGCGCACGCGGAGGACCCGCGCATGGCGGCGTCCCTGCTGCGGCTGCACTTCCACGACTGCTTCGTGCAGGGCTGCGACGCCTCCGTGCTGCTGGACGCCGACGGCAGCGGCAGGTTCGTCACCGAGAAGCGCTCCAACCCCAACAAGGACTCGCTCCGCGGCTTCGAGGTCGTCGACGAGATCAAGGCCGCGCTGGAGCACGCCTGCCCGCACACCGTCTCCTGCGCCGACATCGTCGCCGTCGCCGCCAGGGACTCCGTCGTCCTGGTACGCACCAATACGAACTAATTAATGCAGCGTCGTTCAGCATCGTTGTCTATCCACCGTTGTCGATTTATTTACAATTATTACTCCGATGGTCTTCGCCGAACTGCAGACCGGCGGACCCGGCTGGGAGGTGCCACTGGGGAGGAGGGACTCGCTGACGGCGAGCCTGAGCGGCTCTAACAACCTCATCCCTGCGCCCAACGACTCCCTCCCCACCATCATCGGCAAGTTCGCCAACCAAGGCCTCGACGTCGTCGACCTCGTCGCGCTCTCAGGAGGGCACACCATCGGCGACTCGAGGTGCGTGAGCTTCCGGCAGCGGTTGTATGGGCAGAACAACAACGGGCAGGTGGACCGGACGCTGAACCCGGCGTACGCGGCGGAGCTGCGGGGCCGGTGCCCGCGGTCGGGCGGCGACCAGAACCTGTTCGCGCTGGACCCGGCGACCCAGTTCCGGTTCGACAACCTGTACTACCACAACATCCTGAACATGAACGGGCTGCTCAGCTCCGACGAGATCCTGCTCACGCAGAGCCGCGAGACCATGGACCTCGTCCACCGCTACGCCGCCGACCTGGGCCTCTTCTTCGACCACTTCGCCAAGTCCATGGTGAAGATGGGCAACATCTCGCCGCTCACAGGGACCGCCGGCGAGATCAGGCACAACTGCAGGAGGGTCAACCAATTCTAATTCTAAGGAGGATGCATATACATGACGTGCGCCGCCTGCTGCTTGGCCGGCCATCCGTGGTGCTCTTGCTTTGGTGGTTTCATTCTGGATGCATGCTTCGTGTTTCATACTTGAATCTAAGTGTGTAGTAGTAGTAAATGATTGAAATTTCTGTTTTAATTTGGTGCCGTTCGATCTCCAGTTGATTTTTCACTCATGTAATTTGCAATTGGTGTATGAAAAAATGATCCAATAAAATTCTGCGTTTGTGTCATTGCTAAACTACTCAAATTAAATCAAGGATGACATGTGCAATTCTAGGGGTACCAACTACCAAGTCTTTTTTTTTCTTAGGAAAAATTTGCTATAAGTATAGGATGAACTTGTGTGGTGTTTGGTCATTTCACATTGAACTCGTTGAAATTGGCCTAGTACGAGCACAACACACACAACTGTCCGGAGTTGCAGAGGCGATAGCACCACCATTTTCTTGATGGTCGGCGGAGAAGAGAGGTGATAGCAAGCTTCATGCCAGTACACATAAAGCTATAGGGTTTCAACTCATTCAGCTATGCATCAAATTCGCAAACAGTACTATGTGAAATAACAATTGGAGGTGTTTAGAGTATATATATCCCACCATCATTATCTTTGTTGGGAAGCCGATGACCAGCGATAACCATGGCCTAGGTAGTGGAAGTGATGGCTTTACTAGAGGTGTTGCAAGGCCCTCAAAGCATGAGGATGGGGGAGAAACCAAAGAGTAGTTAAGGTGGGACAATAGAGAGCTAACAACCAACAACCGACCCTATACCAAAATAGCACAAAGGAGATAGCTTAATAGTGACACAAAATTGAAATTTGTTACTAATGTAAGATTAGAGACGGAGTGAATGCATTACTGATTAGTCACCAACCATGGACAGGAAGCAAAATGCGTCACGTCACTAATGACAATTTATTAGAGACTCATCCCAACTAGAAGCGTCACTAATAATAGGGGATGTTATCAGTTACACGTTTCACCAAGACGAGTTTCTGATATATAGACACATCAAAGACTCTTCACAACTAGATGAGTATCTGATAATAAGGGTCGAACAAGATAAGTCTAATGATGTGATGTATTTTGAACTAGTATCATTGCCTGACTTGCGTGTATATGTGAACAAGTACTACTTGTGTTGTGAACCTTTGGTAATATTGATAACTTTGACGTGTGCTATGAACCTATGTGTTGTGACCTATGTTATTACAGACGTGTGATTTATAACACGTCTCTGATTCATGCTTATTAGAGACTCGTTTTAATATATATGTCGGTGGTGACAAAATATTTGTGACATTTGAACTAAAAGCATCACTGATAATGGTCGTATTTGAGACGCGCATGAAAGAAAAATAAGAGTCATATCTCAGACGTGTCTTTGAATCAAGAGTCACAGATAAGAATCATATTTGAGACATGTCTTCGAGTCAAGAGTTGCTAATATCTTCATGTCAATGACATGTTTTCTCAATATGAATAACTGATGTCTTCACATTAGAGACATAGTATAAGTGACATGTTTTGTTTTCTTCAGCATCTCTAATGTGAAATTCTGACATAGAAAAAATCTTTTTTTCTATCTGACACAGTTTCTCAATAATAATGATCATGGTTGTTGAGAAATCATGCGTCCAGATAGAAAAAAGATTTTTTTTCTACCCTCTCCTCCTCACATCATGCAAATCATGCAAAACCAATTTTATGACTATTGTGGTGTTATAGGAAAATCACATTGATTTAGTGATGATGCATGATCAATTCCAATAATTTTGATATCAAACGGCCAGTACCATGAAAGTTTAGCATTATGTGGCAAAATGTCATTTTTATTTTGGAAAGTTAAACCTAACTGGAGTGATTTGGACCGTTCCCTCACTTGATCTTTTCAGCTAATCAACAAATTCCACGATAACGTCTCCCTCAGTCCCAGTGAGGTTAGGTTTTGGTTGAAAGTGCATCTAGGCCCTAAGTGAATTTTGTTCGATTTAAGGTACTAACATACTTGATGAGATTATATGCATGGGCTCAAATGAAGCAAACTACAAAAAATGTGATCACATTAAGGACTTATTTGGAAATGACAAGCATATAAATTAGTCCCATTTGTAATTGAGTCCATTGATGAATTGCATAACTGACAAGCATATTTGGAAATGACAAAAGAGACATGAGTGATAGTGTATGAACTGGTCTCGTATTAAGGGCTTGCTAAGATAAATCAAGAATTCAATATTGACGTTGGATTTCATATAGACAAAAAACTATGGTGAATTAAATGAAAGCTTGATTGATCTCAAAACTGATACAAATGAAGACATTCAAGCAAGAATCATGGTTTTGATGAAATTGATTTCAAAGGATGCTTATGGCAACTCAAGACATAGTGTGACTTGAGGATGGCTCGATAGTGTAAATGAAGCAATGAAATGGTTTCAAAGTATTAAGCAGAGGTGAACGACAAGCAACGGCTTGGTGGCTGAGGTACCATGGCTAAGGTAAAGAATAGTATATGTACTTGCATTGAGCTAATGAACTAATCAAGCTATGAGGAATCATGTCTTGTGGACAATCAATTATTTGTTGAATCATATGAAGAAGTGACTTAAGGATGAAAAGTGTAGTGTTGATCATATTGTCGCAAAGATTCTAAGTCACAAGCTAAATGGGGACATGCTCATGGAAATGGCAGCGTTGAAAGATCTTCAAATGGTGAAGATTGAAGTGATGGAAAATTCCAAGAAAGAGAAGCTCAATTGTGATCTAAATGTATATTTTTGATCTTGAGTGAAGGTATGTCTTATTATCAAGAGGGATGCAACTTTTTGCTTCTTGATTTGTAATTTGGTGGATTAATGCCTCTTCTTTAAAGAGGTTTGAAGCCAGAACATTTCCATTATCTGGAAAAATCAAGAGGGATGCAACATTGACTACTAGCAAGGCCTAAAAGTGCTCCAAGTAACCCTTGAGGGAAACCCGAGTGATTAACTCTAGAATTAGAAAAGAGTGGGAAGAAATTGGGAAACATGCCAAGCTGGTCTTCCAAACTGGCTAGGCCAGTTTTGCGTAGGTTTGAACAGTAATAGCTAGTTCTGACAAAAACCAGCCATGTCGGTTTCCTGAATCTGCCAATTTGGTTTTGTTGACAAGTCCCCCCACTGTTGTTTCATGGGAGATGAGTATTTGTACTCACCATTTCCCATTTTGGGGGTTGCTGATTCCTTCCACGTCCATCTAACTTTTAGAAAGCCTTATTGAGAGCTCTCCACATCATCCATTTGCATGATTTGTGTTTTAAGTGATGTTTCTTTTGGATTAGAGAGTCAGACTTGAGTATGTGGAGCTTTTATGAGCAATTGTGAGCTGTTCTAAGCCTTGAGCACTGTATGGTTGCATCAATGTTTTTTAAATACATAGCTTTTGCTATGCACTTAGATATGTAATATGTCTAGATACATAGTGAAAACTATGTATTTGGAAATGACAAAACATTTTATAATTGAGAATGGAAGGGGTACTAAAGTCATGTGCATGTTTTATTTTTTAGAAACTACGTGCAATTAGTGTTGCAGCTGCATGCTGGGGCCAGCAATTATTATCTTGGTCCTTTAAAACACACACAAGAAGTAGGGATGGTCTTGCGAGCGGTTCATTCTTTTGACAAAAAGGAAACACAAGAGTCCGGTCTGGGAGTACTGTGCCTGTGTCCGAGAGAGGATCGGAAGCACCCATACGTTAGGTCAGTCATGTGGGATTTGGAGGCATCGGGATCTTTGGCTGTGCTCAGGGCCGGATGGTGCTCTCACACACTGCTCAAATAGCTGGTCTCGGGTTGCTCAGGGTGGAAGAAGCTCTCCGATGGCAGAAAGCGCACAAATCTGAAGTTGGTTTTGTGATGGCTGAGTCCAAAGTCACTTCACAGTCTTGTTGATTGTGTGAATACTTTTGAGGCAGATGAAGAGAATAGAGTAGCAAATGAATTAGCTTTGCTAGCTAGAAGAGAGCTGCATACTGTTGAGGCATGCCCCTCCTGCGTGCATTTCTTTTTTGCAACGCATCCAAAAATGGTTTAACCCCAGTTTAAGGTAGCAATAAAATACTCTCTTTGCCCCCACAAATAGAGAATTAATAGCTCGTCGGTGAGTTTAGAGAATTCACGAGGTCCACACACGTGCCTGAGCTTCTGTCTTGTGACCTCTGATGACGAGTTCCACATCAATCTCGAGTGAGAAGTCCCCAACTCTACCGTAATTCTCTTGCGTGGGGGTCACCATCCAGTAGTCCTAAGCACTCGTTCATACTTGACTAATTTATGGTACCGCAATCAGACGTCAATCCCAAAATGGAAGTTGCCAAATTTTTTTTTTTTTTTTTTTTTTTGCGGAAACTAAATGGGAGTTATCATTGTTTTGAATTTTTTTTTTTGAATCAATAAGCCTTTTTTAGAGTTCTAGGGCAAAGCCCCTGTCATTACATTAACAAAGACCAAAACGTTTTACAACATCCAGTTCCCAAAAATTCTACAAAGCACATAACTTAGTCCAGTCTAGTGGAAGTTTCATCAGAGTTTTCTTTACATTTAATAAGTTGTCACATAAGCGTTTTTGATGATGTGGTAACGATTTTAAGAAGAGAGAGAAGAAGTGAGTTTCATGGTGATAAAACTCTCTTGTCACGATTACCAATTCCCAATGAGTAATGAAATCAAAAGTCTATATATGAAACCACAGAATGAAACTCTCTATTGAGATCGAGTGTTTAATCTATATTTTATTTCATTCTATATGACATGACAGCCTCGAAAACAACATCATGAAACTTTACATTGAGACTAGCCTTAAAGACTCCAGAAAACCATTGAACACCACACCGCATTCAAGAACAATACATATATACCCCATTCCCTTCCTAACTTAAGAAAACTAACCTAGCTATATTTCCCTCTGGAAACAACTCCACCACAGCCGAGAACTCCACTAGGGGACTTTTGGCTCCAGTCGGGACATGTGTCATTGTGTCACCCCAAAATTTCTGATTTTGGGTTGTGCATAGAAAATACAAATTAAAATAAATATTTTCATATTTGGATAAAATTTCCCATAAGTTTAGTTTAATTTAGCGTCAATTAGTTATAGGAAAAATGTAAATCTTCAAACTTTCCTAAATTAATTTGATGGGGTTTTGCTTGATGTGATGTTTGCTTGTTGTTTTTTTGTGTTGAAAGTGAGCAAAGTTTTTAAAATGCGTATAGTAGGTCGATCTTCCTTCTCCGGCACGCCTTTATCGTTTTCTGCAATCAAATTCCGTGTTTCTCAGCTTAAGCTTTCGTTCGGAGCTTCTCAAAAATCTTTTCTTTGTAACCCAAATCACTCATTTCAGTTTCACGTCCGTCAATCAATCTCTAAAAACTTCTTAGGAATTTTTCTGGCTTTTTCTAGAACTTGTTCTCACTTTTCTACGAGCATAATCCAAATGTTTGATTCTCCAAATTATCTTATCATGAGCTCAAAATACTTTATTTGGGTTCCTCATGTTCCTTAATGTCTCCGAGAATTTTCCCCAAATTTTTGGAGGGTTCAGAGTATTTTTCGTGGCTTAAATAATAATTCTGAACTTTTCTGGAATTATTTTGTCCACGAAATTAGTTAATTCCAAAAGTAATAAAATCTCTCAATTTTTTTCAATGCTCAAAGCCCATGAGTAATAATACTAATAAATCCT